CTCTCTTTCCCCCTACTGAGCACCCAGCTACGGTTGGCACTGGCTTTGCTGCTAGTACAGGCTGCTTCCCATTTGCTTGGACAGCCTTCCGACACTTGCCCAGCCAGAAAGTACGGCCCAGCTTGTTCCCACCACTGAAGGCCAGTATCCGAGCCAGGCCGGTAGGCACTGCCTTCCGGAAGTATCCAGAGTTGGAAGTAGCTACCTAAATTCGGGTGACCCTTTGACGCATGCGTCAACGACTGCAAGTATTTCGGAAACTGAGTGTTTTCCAATCTGATGACTTTTTGTCGTTTGCCTGTTTGAGATTTCAAACACGCGTCCCTTACTAACCCTATTCCCAGGCCTTTGTGCGCATAGCAGATCTTACAGCCACATGCGAGACCCATTCATGGACAAAGGTTCTTCTCCGCTCTTCCACAGTGCAGGATCTCGTGCTCAAATGCAGGGTAAATTGCCCAGTAAAAGAGTACCTCAAAACATTACCCAGTAGTAGGCCAGTACGCATATCATTTCCGGGGTAAACTACACAGTAGATTGCATAGTACTGGGCCAAGCCAAACATTATGCAGGACATGGCAACAGTAGAATTGCACGACAGCGGGTTCCCGCCAAACATTAAGCAGTCTATATATCATTTGCAGTATGAATTGCACACTCTCCATAGTAAAACACGAAAAGGAACAATCAGAAACGACTGTATGGTAGTGACAAGAGATAAGAAGGTATGAAAACAGGGGTGGGCAGAGCTAAGTCTTTCAAGCACAACGAGGTAACCGATGCAGCTGTCTCAGGATCTCGGGGCCGTAATGGAGAGAACGTAGAGAAGCGTTGAGTAAGCACACATGTAAGGGACGCTGAACCCGGTTTTCAGCAAACTAGTACACACGGATTTATTGGAAAAGAAAAAGAAAAAGACCGTACAATGGGGTATGCAAAAAGGGTATGCACCACTCTCTTGGCATCAGCTCTTTCTTCATGAAGACATGAAACGAATTGAAGAAGCCAGTAATCTGGAAGGCTGTTTACAGGTCACACGGTGAAATTCAATTTAGGACATGCTCACACAAGCACTTTCTTGAATGCATCTGATTGCAATTAAGTTAAGACCTGGATGCATCTGACAGCAATCATGCCCAGAGCTCAGTAGAAAATGTCCTACTGTGAGCATGCGCCTAGGATCCAACTGCGCAGTTGTGCGGCCAAATACGAGAGCGAGCGAGCGAGCGAGTGTGTGTGTGTGTGTGTGTGTGAGAGAGAGAGAGAGAGAGAGAGAGAGAGAGAGAGAGAGA